TGTCAAGTTTGGTGGAATATTCGTCCAATTAATTTGTCTCTATCGTTGAATATCGTAGAGTATCCAAGTTGCTGATCATCATGTGAATCTTCGTCTATGTGGCTCAAATATTGTATTTTAAACGACTGATCATCTCGTTTCCTGGAAATATTCATCTACATTGTAATGTCTCGACTGCTGTGCAGCAAATTATAATTGTTCTAGGTACAAACTTTCAACATTCACAATATTATAGTTGGAAAGGAATTCCTCAGTTCGTCAAACGAAATTTGAGAGCTGAAGAAATTTTTTCCTGTTTTGAAACTATGAACTGATTTGAATTTGAACCATTTTGGAGATTCAACTTCCACAATATAGTTCGCAAGGAATTCGTCATTTGCTCTGATGAGAGTCGGAATACATGTAACGGAAGATAATCTGTCCTGATTCAACTTTCTACAAGTCCCAATTCTTTATTAAAGATACAGATAGTCGTGTTGGAATAATTACCGAGTTAGTCTAGTACCTGTCAATGGTCATTGGTTGTCTGCTATCTTATAGTGATAAGCTTCACACCAAGGCTAGTGACCTTCACCCTTGTTGCTCAGTCTCCTATCTGCAATGTCCACAGATTAGTTGGTTGTTGTTTCTGAGACAAACCAAATGTTTATTTGTTTAGTTGGAAGAAGAATTTCTGGTGTCGATCCACCTTTAACAGCTAACTTTTCTGACAGAGGTAACCTATATACATGTATAAATTATACAGGTGAGACAATGTAACACCTTTTAACATTATATAGCACCTTTTGATGTTCAACTCACTGCTTAATTTAGATATGTTAATTTGTTGCTATAATAGTTCAAAAATAGATAATGAAGCATGAATATATTGAAAATTTCAATCCAATAACTTTGTTCGGAATGAAGTTATGAGTATTTGAAGTTGGAGAATATAGTCTTGATTGTCACATACAGTTGTATCATTGCTACCGTAATAAACAAAGTCTCTGGCAACCATTTTAACTTTAAATTATTAAATGGCACAAGTGTTCTAATTTATTAAATATCTAAGCCATCTGATGATCTAGAGGGGGATGGGGTTTAACTTCAATTAACACAAACATATCGTTCAATTTTATTTCAATAATTCGTTTGCGCGTAGGTGTCTTTATCAGTGGGAGGAAACTGGAGAAAACCCACTAGGTTGGACAGGCGACCCTACTCCTTGTCACGTACAACCGGGGAATCGAAACCACGCCAGTTGACTCAATGACAGACCTAATGATACAGCATGCACGCACTAACCATTCAGCCATCCACCCCTTACCCCTACAATAAGCAGATTTAGCTCTTACCAAATGTACATTGTATCTTTAATGCAAGGAACCACAGTGATTTGAATACGACATACACTTCAAAGTATGGCGAGGAAAAGTGTTTTGAATCATCTGGCTGGGATGAATAATTAAAGAAACCGTTGGTGGAACTTTAGAGATCCATTGAGGGTTGGAAATTGGTCATGTTCAACAGATACATGTATTGCTCTGTTAAAGTTGACTTACATTTAAATGCTTATTAATTATGTTAGGGAAGGGTTGTTTTAAATTATGGTACATGTATGGTGTCAAAAATAATTGTTATGTTCAATGTCAATAATTATGTTAGTGAAGAGTTGTTTTGAATTATGCTGTACATGTATCGTGTCAAAAATAATAGTACATGTATCTCTTTAATTGTAATGTTCAATGTCATATAGGACACAGCTCACCAAATATTCCTACGCTGTCACCCACGAAACAAGGGTCAAAGTTATTTTTAGTCTTTAGTCTTTCCTTTTTCCCCCTTTTGCATGGCGATTTTTGTTGACTTTTTGGTGTAGAATCGAAGAAAAGGGTTTGAAAATACATTTTCTGCCAGATTTTGGTGAATATTCATGATTTTGAGTCGGAAGGATACAAGAGTTGAGAGGTTGGTTAGGTTGAAATGTAGGGCCAAAAATTGCATATTTACTTGTCTCTACTTCCAGCTTGTGTATCTCAAGTTTTCCATGGTGAACCTCATACGTGCTTTTGGGCAAGAGTTTGCCACATGTTGCTCCATCTGTGGTTGAAAGCGTTCTACTCAACAAAAATTTGGGAAAAAGTTAGAGCCGGTCTAAAAGACGAGAATTAACATTAAAGTCAATAGGGAAATCATTTGTGATCTGTGGCCATTAATTTGTTTATTGATGCCTTGTCTACAGTATAGTAGGGTGCTACATGTATCTCTCCTAGGAGGATTCCAGTATTGGTCCTGAAAGTCTCAGGATTTTCCGGAGTTGGATCCCGTTGTCATAGGGCGCAAGGAAAAGGGTAATTTGTATGGAACGAAAAAACAAGGACCTGTGTGTGCATAAAAGAAGTGTCGTTGGAACTACGTCTAGTTTGCCGTCCAGGCCAGATAACCCTCATAGCACGCTGTACATGTATGTTGTATGTCTGTCTTCATTAGCCCTGGAGCCTGTTTCACAAAATTTTAACTAAGATAAAATCCAAATTTGAGTAATTTGATTGGATAATATTAGATTGATTTTAGTGCTTAGCCAATCAAACTTAGGGTATCTACTAAAATTTGGATTTTATCTTTAGTTTAGATTTCGAGAAACAGGGCCCAGTTGGTGCAGAAAAGTAGGATGTTAAACCCCATTTCATTCATTGATTAGTCTCCTTGAAGAAAAGTCAGTCACGAGCCCTGTCTGTAATTACATGTAGTTATTTGTACCTGTATGTAATACCTTGTTGTATATACATTGTACAGGTAAATAGATCAGGTGTGGTCACATGTTCTACACTACCTCAGTACCTGTCAATCACAACCTTGTTAATTACCTGTGAACAACATGATTAGAGTGGGTGTGTACGACACAGGTACATATACTACACAGGTGTGGTGACCGAGTCATTCAGGTATTCAACTATATCCCCCCTGAGGGTTCAGCCAGGGGTCAGATTTAAAAGGTCAAGCCTATAACAACGTATGATGGTGTTGACAGTTTTACCTGCTTATCATTTCTCTTTGTGTGAATCATACAGGTGAATCAACCTCAAAATCAGGTTGACGATCTGTTTACCATCATGTCTGTCCTTTCCTTTATAAATCATGTCAGACATATAAAGGTTTGTCTGTTAAAATATATGTACATGTACATACAAAATGTGAAAGTAAATGAAGTTACATGTATATCTGCTGGATATGGTTGAATCATGTCAGACAGATGAAGGGTTGTCTGTTAAAATACATGTACATTGTATATACAAAATGCCAAAGTAAATGAAGTTATATCTGCTTTAAATGGTTAAACTCCTGAACCTTCATTAATTAGACTTGTAAAATCTATCTTGTGATGGAAACACTACCAGCATCTTTTGATACATGATAATTAATTCACAACTTCTCAAATGACCCATGTTCAGATAAAAACAACGAAAAGGTTGTCTGAACATTATATATACATGTACATGTATACATGTATATACAACACATTCTTTCCCAGATAAAAAACGAGGAAAAGATTGCCAGAACATTATACCATACATTCTTTCCCCTATAGTTTTATAGTCTTCTCAAATGGCACATGTTCAGATAAAAAAAAAACAAATGTTGTCTGAACATTACAATGTATACAACACATTCTATCCCAGATAAAAAAAAAACGAGAAAAGGGTTGTCTGAACATTACAACACATTCTATCCCAGATAAAAAAAAACGAGAAAAGGGTTGTCTGAACATTACAACACATTCTATCCCAGATAAAAAAAAAAACGAGGAAAGGGTTGCCTGAACATTACAACACATTCTGTCCCAGATAAAAAAACGAGAAGGTTGCCTGAACATTACAACACATTCTATCCCTAATAAAAAAAAAACGAGGAAAAGGTTGTCTGAACATTACAACACATTCTATCCCAGATAAAAAAAAAACGAGGAAAAGGTTTCCTGAACATTATACAACACATTGTTTCCCCTATAGTTTTATAGTCCATGGTACATTAAATGACTATGAGAGAATACAGCCCCTATAGTTTTATAGTCCATGGTACATTAAATGACTGAGAGAATACAGACACAATGTATTTTAGTTTTATATGTACACGAGACTAGTGATAAATGATTGCTCCGGTTTTAACTGACAATCTGATGAATTGCTGTACAAAAAGAACCCACCATGAGCAAGGAAATACAACCACGATTTTATCTCATAGTATTGGTTGGAGTTATTTTATCTCCGAGGACTGGTTAGAGATACATGTATTTTGTCTCAATATTGATTTACTTCCAGTAGGCCCAGTCATTGTTTCTATCTTTTTGGGGGAATGTGGTCGAAAAGGCCTTAAACTAAAAAACCCAAAAATAATAATCTTTTAGCTGTATAATAATATAATGTATAAAAGTTGTGGCTTGTTCACATTATTAATTTTTTTAAAATGACAATTTGACTAAATTTTGAGACCTTTGGTTCATGGCTTTGATGATAAAAATGACAGTTAAGCGTTACTCTTAGAGAAATAGAAATGAAATGGAATGGGGTTTAACCTCCTACTAAAAGATCCTTTGGCAGTTGGAATTCGATATAAGAGTAGACCATAGTGCAGCTGTCCGGGCAAAATTCCCCTCATAGCACACTGTATGGCGTATGCCCGTCTTCATTAGCCCAGGTTAGGGGCAGATCAGTAGGACATTAAACCCCATTTCATTTAATTGCCTGGCAACCTTTCTTCATTGGTTTTTCACAAGATTAGTTTAAATGTATTTTGTATTACACTTACACGTGGTAAATACCACATAATGTTTCTACTTCCTTCAGCATGAGAACTCCTCGTAAGTCACCTCCGCTCAATCCAATTATCTTCTGTTTCTCGGCTAAATGGTAAATTGATTCTGTCTTCAACTATGTACATGTTAAAAAAAATAAACAATTTGTATGTCGTCTCCTACAGTTTAATTTCTTTCTCACTTCATCTTTTTTTTTCTCTTCTTCCAGTTGCTGATATTGACAGAATTCATGATGCGTATATCATCGCGTCTGATCCAGGAACCAAGAGAAAATTGGAAAAATTCTCCACAACGCAACACGTTATTGACCCAGTGGATATGACCAAAGTTGATGACGCAAAACATTCACTGAATCATCACGATAAAACAGCTACGATAAACTCTGAATTAGTGTTAGTGGATAATCCTGTCTACATGGCTTCGTTAGAAAAACCGCGTAAATATGTCAACGGTCATACGCGTAATGGTGATGTAAACGGCTCGTCAGAATATATCGAAATGAATGGATATTCAGAAACAGATAACATGCCCTTAAAAGGCAAATCAAAAAATAAAAAGGAAAAAAATCAGAAAGCTGTCAGCAACCCGGATACGTTGTTGATCGAGAATATCGTGAAGCAAGGTTTGACCAATGGTCAAGGACGAATGGACAGCAATAATTCGTTAAATTTGGCCAAAGACAATATGTACGATAGTGACAACATAATGCATAGTGCCGAAAACTCGTTTGAAATGAATAATTCGGGTCCCCATCGAGAAATGGCTATAGACTGTCCGGATAGTTTTGTGGGGACCGCGAAGGTTCCACCCGTTTATCCTCCTCCCCAAACTTATAACAGTCTTCCCCACACAAAACATAATAAAAATCATAATGCGATGAAAAATACGGACTCCTTACAAAATATTCACAAATCGTCAACGCAACCAAGTAACGACCAGTTGGATAGAATACGCAGACATCAGGAAGAACTACGCAAACGGAAGGAAGAGGAGACGAAACATTTAAAAGAGGAAGAATTTTTACGGACATCACTACGGGGATCTAAAAAGCTGCAAGTGTTAGAGAAACGACAGCAGCCACCTATTGGTATAGATAATTCAGCATTCATGGTTGCCGATGACGACAGTCCAGATGGTGTATCCCCCGCTAAAATTGCTCTGACAGATAACAGATATATGAAGAAAAACATCGGTAAGTAAGTGATTCTTGTGTACATGTAGTTGTGTGAAGTGGGCATGAGATTAGGGATCTTGTCACAAAAATAGGGAGCTATCATAACAATAGGGTGATGGGTACTAGAATTGGGAGACAGGGACTACATGTAGAATAGGGAGATTAGTACAAGGATAGGGAGATTGGCACAAGAATAGGGGGATGGGGACTAGAATAGGGAGATGGGCACAAGAATAGGGAGACTGGCACAAAAATAGGGAGATGGACACAAGAATATGGAGATGGGGACTAGAATAGGGAGATGGGCACAAGAATAGGGAGACTGGCACAAGAATAGGGAGATGATGACTAGAATAGGGAGATGGGGACTAGAATAGGGAGATGGCACAAGAATAGGGAGACTGGCACAAGAATAGGGAGATGGCACAAGAATAGGGAGACTGGCACAAGAATAGGGAGGTACATGTAGGGACTAGAATAGGATATTGTTCACAAGATTAGGGAGTTGGTCACAAGCTCGGTGAGCTAGTCACAAGATCAGGGGTGTAGTCACAGGATTAGGGACCAGGGCACAAGAGAAGGGACCTGGGCACAAAATTAGGGACCTGAGCACATAATTAGGGAGTCAGTCACAAGATAAGGAAGCTGAGCACGTACTACATGTTCTGTGATTCAGATAATCAATCTAAATATGAAAAACATTTTGCACGAGTAATATCCATTTTATTTATTTGAATGTTTGTGGTATTACATGTACATCATGCCAATGAATAAAACTCTTTCGCCATACATGTACATGTATAATGATTTTAAAGTTTAAATGGATAATCAAGACTTTAATTTCCGTAACAATGATACTTAACAATCAAGACTATGTTTCCAAAGTTTCAGAATAATGTATTTTGACTGAACGTTTCAATATATTTATTTTTCATTATCTATTTTTGAACTATCATAGCAAAGGCCAACTCTATATCTAGATCTGGGGGGTTGGATTGCCGAATGGTTAGCGCGTGCGTGCTGTATCATAAGGCCTGTTATTGAGTCAACTGGCGTGGTTTCGAATCCCCGGTTGTACGTGACAAGGAGTAGGGTTGCCTGTCCAACCTTGTGGGTTTTCTTTGGGTCTTCCGGTTTCCTCCCACTGCTAAAGACTCCTACGCGCAAGCGAATTATTGAAATAAAATTAAACCATGTGTTAGTCACGAAATGACCTAGTTTGTGGCGAGTTTACGTTAAACCTCATTTCTCTCTCTCTCTCTTTATCTAAATCTTACATAATGCATCTTTAAAATTGAATTCACTATTGTGCATGCAATATGACGACCATGACATCCTTTTATTTTATTGGCTAATTGAATATTTCAGGTATTGAAGAATTATTTTCGTCGTTGAATCACATCAGAAGTCGAATAAACACGGTGGAAAATAAAGATGACATTACGTTCTTACGCACATTATTTCACAATAGTCAGTTTCAACAGGCTGTCGTAATACACAATAAAGTTGTTGAAGTGTCGTCACGGAGTCCACCACTCTATGCGGTGTCTGGTCACAGTCAAGATAACGTTAATGATGTTTTTACGCTGTGTGGCGACACGAGGGAGCCATATGTCGTGGAATTATTAACCATACTTAATAAACCTAATATTAAGGTAAGTCTCTTAAAAATATTGTCAACTGGTGTGGTTTCGATTCCCTGGTTGTACATGGCAAGGAGTAGGGTCGTCTGTCCAACCTTGTGGGTTTTCTCCAGGTCCTCTGGTTTCCTCACACTGCTAAAGACCCCGATATGCAAGCAAATTATTGAAATAAATTGAACCATTTGTTAGTCCCAAAATGACCTAGTTAGTGTCCAGTGGATTATTGAAATTATTGAAATAAAATTTAACCACTTGTTTGCCCCGAAATGACCTAGTTTGTGTTGAGTGGATGATAAACCCTCTCTCTCTCTCTCTCTCTCTCTCTCTCTGAAATGATTTTATTTAATGTGTTGATGTGACTTGGTTACTCAAGTTAGGATTATTGATGGCTCTACACATATTTCTGTGGTTGCAAGATGTTTGAGACAAATGTCGAAGAATTCTATTGAAATTCAAGTCGTTGCCGGGAGCAACATGTATGATGGAAATCAATTCTGTCTCTATTACTTCTTGACAATAGATACAGATATTATCGTATTTCTCATCATCTGAAATACCAGATAAAATATCCCCTCAAATATCCTCTCATTGATAAGGTCGGTTTTACCAATAGGATTCATCCTAGAGCCCACTGCAACTAATTAATGGCACTGCCAATCTGATTCAAATACAAATCTATTTTTCGTTTTGTTATTTTATACTTTCGATGGCCTACACTACATGTACATGAAGATCTGACCAGTTGTAGTGGAAGGTTGTGTCAGGGGTCATTTCAAGCAGTTATGGACCTTATGACGTCAGACATTGATTAATCAATCAACATTTACTTTTCTAGTAGTTTACCCAAAGTTCATGCACCTCGTGGTAACAGCCCGTTTCATTGGCTAATCCCTATCATCATCCAGAACACAGGTTATATAGTAAAGACAAGTAAAATGAAATTTTGAACTATATAAAAAACGAAAATGGATCTGTGTTTTAATCAGATTGTTGCACAGTACTGAGAGTATTTCGTTTTATAATATATTCAAAATCATTTCTTACATTGTAATATTTGTTGACATTTGGCCATTGCAAAAGAAATATTTATATTGGAGACTGGAGCATGCCAATATTTCTATAAATTTTTGGGGCAGCTGATGTGTTTGGCCTGTAGCTAACAAATATTTGAATCCGGCCAGCTCATTGGGACATGATTTTCTTGTATTCTGTATATTTCTTTTTTAGACACAAATGTTTTTTGTTTTACCAGACTATTCTTCATCATGAATTGCAGACATTTTGATAAACATATTGGCTCTCTAAAATGGACGTCCTGTAGTCGATCCTTGCCTTGAGAAAGTTCATAATGATTTTCCAGCGTGGTTAACCCCTTGTCAGTGGTGCAGGTCAGAGGGCCTAGCAAGGGACAATGTGCATAGTCGTTCGAAGGGGATGGAAAACAAGGTCCTGTGTATGTAAAAGAACCCGTGGTATTTGGAATTTGATATGAGTAGGCCGTAGCGCTGTTGTTTTGGCAAAAGTTCCATCATAGCACACTGTTTTAAGATTTCACATCTTCGTTAGCCCAGTCGAAGCAGAATAGTAGGACATTAAACCCCATTTCATCCCATCTTCGTTAGCCCAGTCGAAGCAGAATAGTAGGACAATAAACCCCATTTCATCCCATCTTCGTTAGCCCAGTCGGAGCCGAACAGTAAGACATTAAACCCATTTCATCCCATCTTCATTAGCCTGTCGGAGCAGGAAAGTAGGACATTAGAAGTTAAACCTCCTTACATTTTCCCAATCAATAATTTAAGACATTACTTCCATAAAAAAAAGGAAAATGGGGATAAGAAAGATGTATATCCACACATAAGATAAGATTATCACATGTAGGTTTGAGATAATAGGTTAATAAATTAAATTACAGAGAAAGGACAAAGATAATGTAGTAATAAATCTCCTAGCTGGATCTTAAAAAAAAAAACGATGTCAGTGGAAACTACATGGGTTTTAACTTTATTTCCTGTTGAATACACATATACAGTGATTCTATTAACAGCCTATAATCAAATCTCTTCTACTTTCTAAAGCCCATATTGTACCTTTATGTTTACTTTTGAGTTAAAAATAAAAATAAAAATAGATAAGTATATTTTAGGCTAGATAAATACTGTTCTGTATGTAAATATTTAAAGGTAGGCAGTAATCAGTGGTACACCTTTATAGAATTTATATCGGAGATTTGAGTCAAAAGAATTTTTATTCCAATAGCGAGTTTCAGCGACGGCCAAATTTACATGTACCTCTGTGAGTATCGATGTTTGTTCCTGAGTTCCTCCGACAAATTAAATTCTAAAACATGTTTTTTAAGTATTAGAAAAATAAATAAAGACGTTTGAAGTATTTGTAGGTAAAAATTATTTCCTATTTTAGTGTAAATGGGTATTAAAATGACTAAAAGGCAACATTTTGCCCGAAGCAGTAACGTCTTATGTAAACAATGCACACGCCATTGAGCCAATGATTGACGCCGCGTGATATGACGTCATGTGTTAAAGGCAGTCATCTTTTACAGAGATATTAGAAGATTTTCGTAATACTCTGTGAAACAGATTGCATTGACGGCTGCAAGTGAATTATTAAATACAATTGTACCATGTTAGGCCTGAAATTTTCTAGTTTGTATGTTTAAGTTTAGGTCAATAAAATCTAGCATACCATGTATTGAATAAATAAGTGAAGTGCGTTTAAGTCATGACCGTGATAGAAACAACAATACCATATATAGAATGTAATTAAATGAAGAAAGTTATAACTCAATCAGAGCCTTGTTAATTTTATTGACCTGTAGCAGACGTAAACTAATATAGTGGAATAATTTTCTCATTTTCTTCTCCCAGCATCTTGTTATTATTGGCTAATTGTATTGTAACACCATATTAACTCTCATGCGTCGTTAACTTCCATATTCCATTTTGAAAGCTGTTTGAACTTTCCACAAATGAAATGAAATGAAATGGAGTTTAACGTCCTACTGTTCTGCTCCTATACTGGGCTAATGAAGACGGGCATACGCCATACAGTGTGCTATGAGGGAAATTTTGCCCGGGCAGCGGCACTATCGCCTACTCTTATATCGAATTCCAACTGCCAGGGGATCTTTTACGTGCATTCCAATATATACACGGGACCTCGGTTTTTCGTCTCATCCGAAGGACTAGACAGCTGTCCTTGTCAGGCCTTCCGTTCTGCACTTCCCACAAATCAAATTACACGCAACCAAATTACTGCAACTATCGTCAGCATGTTGATAGCTATTTGAACTTCCAACCTTGTAGGTTTTATCTTGGTCCTCTGGTTTCCTCCCACTGCTAAAGACCCCTTTGCACAATCAAATTATTGAAATAAAATTGAATCAATCATATGTTAGTCCCAAAATGACCTGGTTTGTGTTGAGTGGACGTTAAACCCCATTTCTCTTTCTCTCTCACTATTAGCTACATGTACCTTCCCCCATTTCGGGGGGTTGGGTGACCGAATGGTTAGCATGTGCGTGCTGTATCATACAGCCTGTCATTGAGTCAACTGGCGTGGTTTTGAATACCCGGTTGTACGTGACAAGGAGTAGGGTTGCCTGTCCAACCTCGTGGGTTTTCTCCGGGTCCTCCGGTTTCCTCCCACTGCTAAAGACCCCTACGCGCAAGCGAATTATTGAAATAAAATTAAACCATATGTTAGTCCCGAAATGACCTAGTTTGTGTCGAGTGGACGTTAAACCCCATTTCTCTCTCTCTCTCTTCCCCCATTTCATTTTACGAGACAGTTTGTCTCATTATGATGTAGTTTTAACTAATGAAAGTATTTATATATTAAATGTTGTCGGATCTTGACAGTGTTTGGATTTTATTGACGAATGGCTTTCTCTTTCTGTAAACCTGATAGAATACCATTCTCATCACATGACCCAAATATTGATTATTTGATTGGACAAATAGGATGTCTCACGCCCGGTTAAACAGCGATAGGTGACGTTAATAAATTGTCTGAACCAATAGTCAGGACAGAATCCATCGTTTACCAGTTATTAGTACCGCTTGGTTACATTTTTCTAGGTTTTCTTATTCGATACAAATCTCTAATATAAACAATTTACATTCTGCGAACAGAGAACTATGGGAATGGTTCTAGATTATGAGCTAAATTGTTTTCTCAAATTTGAACCAAAGCCTTGAAATAAGGCACCTGTCACAGACAATGTCAAACACAGATTCAGGCTTTGTCTGGCACAAAACCTCTGGTGGCTGTCATTTTGTCCGGCACTAATTTGTCTTATTAATTGATATTATTAATACAAGTTGAAAATGTCAGGTACTATTTCATTAGTGCTGGACCCTTATTCACGAAAACTTAAACTAAGTTACAACCGAAATTTTAAGAAATACTGCAACTTCATTGGATATATGCAAATTGATTTAACTTGTCAGCCAATCGAATTGCAGTATTTCTTAAAATTTTGATTGTATTTTAGTTTAAGTTTTTGTGAATAAAGGCCCAGGACATTTTGTCAGGTATATCTAAAACCGTTGATTTCAGGCATGGAACGTCTACTGTGAGAATCAATCTCTGCCTTAGTTTTTATCTGATTAAAATACAAATCTATATTTCCTTGCGTTTTTATACTTTCGATGGCCTACACTACATGAAGATCTCACCGGTTCTAGTAAAAGGTCGTGTCAGAGGTCGTACAAACGACTTTTGACCCTATGACATCAGACATTGATTAATTAATCAGCGTTGACGTTTCTAGTGGTTCACCCACAGTTCCATACATTGCGCGCCAAGAAGTTGCCGTAACAGATGATTTCATTGGCTAATCCCTCGTGCCATCCAGAACGCAGGTTATATAACAATTCTTCCAGATCCTAGTGTAGTAAAGACAAGTAAAATGAAATTTTGAACTATAAAAAAACGAAACAAAATAGGATCTGTGTTCTAATCAGATTGCCCTAGTTTTGGAATATGAA